TATTAAGAATATATTTCTCTAATAACTATAGAATATTTCTAATCTCATATCGACTATATTCTTCATTTTTTATACAATTTTTAAAAATATTTTATTTTGATTATATATATATATATATATATATATATATATATATATATATATATATATATATATATATATATATATATATATATATATATATATATATATATATATATATATATATATATATATATATATATATATATATATATATATATATATATATATATATATATATATATATATATTCATTTTTTTAAGAATTGTATTTTATTTAATTATAAAAAATTGTCTTTTCTAGAAATAAGAAGAAGAAATATATTTTAATTAAAGATTCAATTAAGGCATTTTTAAATTAATCTCATTCCTAAAAAATAAAAAATTTGTTGAGTAATAACTGAATTCTTCAATAAAATATTCTTTTATAATTCTCAATAACTCTCATGATTTTGAATGATGAAATATAATTATAAATTCGTTTCTTAATTATGATATGAATTTTATCTCTATGGATATAAGAAATCAAAACCGAAAGAGAAATATTTTTTCCGTTTTTGATTTCTTTTTTTTTTTCATTCCAATTCTTCTTTTTATGTTATAAAAAAGGGATTTAAAAAATTTTTAAAGGATTTTTTTGTTCTTGATAATAATTTATTTAATGAGTAGGTGGAAGCATAATCTGGATGTGGGGAGTATGCTTTATTTTTTCTACCAACTTAAAGCCCCAATTAATATTTTTTTTATATTCTGCGTAAATTGTCTTTTGGATAATTTATAAAATATGCGTTGCTAATCCGACATGTATGTTGGTGTTTCTAACCATCCACTCTTTCTTATTAATCTCCTTATTTATTTTAATATATCTATGATAATTCATAAAAAATGGTAACTAAAACTCAATAAGATTGGTCTTTTGAGACTACTTCAAAACAAGATGACAAATTATTCAATCTTAAGTTAAATGGCATCTTATGTTTATAATTTTATTTCATTCTTATATATAGAAAATGTGACTCAATATTTTTACTGCCCTTTAAAATCATCATACTATTTATTAACTAGGGATAATATAGTATTATGAAATTCTATTTCGTATAAGTTATTTTATTTCACTCATATAATTATCTAATTTAGTTCTCCAGTTGGAATTATGATAAAGAAAGTAAAGATAATGAAGGTTTTTATTCAATTTATTCACCTCCTTTCCAATATAGTACTATATAGAAATATAGTAATATAAAGAGGGAGGCATAACAATAGCATCGAATAGCTTTTTAGGTATCAACAAATCACACATAGAGATATTGATAAGACACGTAGAGTTACTGGTATTTAATAACTAATCAATTGAGCAATAGCTCGTAGATCACCCAAAAAGAAATATTTATTATTTTATCCATATCCTGACATAAGAAATCCAATGGGAGTAATACTCGAAATAAAAATCCATAAAAAAACACCTATCTTGAAATCAAATAAAAAAAAGTTATAGCCAAAAGGAATTATTGAATAACTTATTATAATTGACATGACTCATATTGATGTAGTGATATTGAATAAACGAATATCTCCCCTATGGAATAAGATTCTCTTTGAATAGCAGTTTTGTTATGTCTGCTAGAGCTTGAAGAATTCCAAAAGGACAAGCATATGCAGGTCCAATACGTTGTTGTACCCCTATAGATATTTCTCTTTCTAGCCATACAATTTCTAGTACACTTATTGTGATTTCCAAGACAATAATCAAAATTGGTACAAGTATCCATAAAATTCCAATTCGAAAAAGGAGTTTATATCTTCGAATTTCGTTGTATCAATTATCATTTCAACGATATATGGATTTTTATGTGTATTTTTGTTGATTTCAGTTAATATTAAGTGTCGGGAAAGATTGAAGCAAATAAGACAAAAAAAAGACATGTTCGAGTAAAGTCGCGGTACAAAAGATATGTGGCCAACACAGCCTAGTCGTGTCATCCGACATATGCCATATTAGCTCTTGAAGTTCCCCAGTTGTGAAAACCTAAGAAGAACATGGGTTGGCCGTGTTGCTTGGCACGACCATGTTCCTTAACACGACCCCTCCCCCATTGTGTGAGACAACATAGTCTGTGTCATGCCCAGTTTTTGCTACGGACTTTTGCATTCTATAACAGAAACCTAAATTCTGGACTTTCAAAATTGCTTCTCTTCATCCTTAATTGACTATTATGATTCTTGCACGAATTTAAGTGGATTAATTGTTGAAATCATGTATAAATAGTATCTCACTTGCTTGGAATGAAGAGGGCCAATTTAGATTATTGTTTATATTCATTCTAGCTTTTAGACTTAAGCTCTCAAGCTCTCGAGTAATTTTTTTGCAACTTCTACTACAATTTCCACATTTCCTTTATTCAAGTATTGTTTTCCTTTAAGTTTATTTTTCTTATTTCCTTTTATTACAATTGCTTTTACTTTGTTTATTTTATTATGTATGCTATGTTTTTTTACCTTGTTTAATTGTTGTTAACCTCACTATGAGTAAGCAGTTTTCTAAAGACAATGGGTTATGAGATTCTATCTATGGCAATTCCCAAATTGATTTATTTGAGCATGAACTATGAGAATTATAATTATTTTATTTTAGGATCTGAAATCTTAAATATATTTGTATCGGTTGCGAAAGCAAAGGCAACCCGGATATAATCGTTGTCCAAAAGGATATGAATTGATATCAGACTGCAGATTGTTAAACAAACGAGTAGCGAGGCACCCGTCGTGACAAGGTGACTCACTCTCGATTGAGAAATTCGTTTAGTCGTGCCAGAAACATGTCTAGTATACATGCTACGAAACAAAAGTGGATGTAGTACATATTTATCTATTTTTCTATAATTTTCTTTGATATTCTCGTGTTCAATTTTGGATGATCGATTGGTTGAATCAAGGTATATGATCACTACCCCCATGTCCTGTTTTAATCATCTATTAATTTTATTCCATTCGCACTCTGAATATTTGATCGCTTTAGATAGACATCATTAGGATAAAAATCAGTACTCAAAATCACCTCCTTGTGGGTTCGATCTCATTAAATTACTTTGCATTGTCGTGCACTTGCGGCTTGCATCAATGAGACAGTCGGTGTGAGGCTTTTATGATGATGAGACATTTGACATTGGCCAGTCGTGGTGGTTTTTGTGTCGCCGCATCTCCTAAAAGTGATTTCTTTTGCTCTTGCCTGAGTTGAAGAGGTCCATCTGGAGGTCCATTTGGTAGGGGGGACACCATAACGTTCCTCAACTGAGTGCAAAATGGGACTCAATCGATCCCGGCTTCACGAATTTATATATGAATTTAAAGGTGTTCATCAACACAGAACGTTTAAGTTCTAGACCTTTGGTCAGCACGCAACACAAACATAATTATTTATAAGTACTATAAAAGAAGTCATTAAAAAAAAAATTTAATTAAGAATTTGATCAAACATATTATTTTAAATAAATAATTTAAAAGTTGATACATGTTGTCGATAGAGGAAATCTTGATTATTGTTGTGATTGTTAAAAAAATTTCCAACAAACCAACCATGACAACATGTCATGTGAAAATTTAAATTTGTCCCTTTATTCTTGACCTAAAACAATTGAAGGCATTTAACTTTTTTTTAGTAAATTCATTTGAAAGTAATCTTCTTGATTGTCTTAACTTAAAAAGGAAATCTTTTTAACTGTCTTTTATTCCAAACGCACCATGACAGCTTGGTCAAATAAAAGACACATGAAAATTTAAATTTTCATCTTTATCTTTACTAGATAATAGAAGGCATTTAATATTAATATTTTATACTTTTTTAATTTTATTCGAAGGAAAACTTTTTAATTGTTGTAACTTAACAAAATAGCTGTTTTCTCTACCAGTCATAGTGAAATATTTGTTTAATTATTAAATTTTATTAAAGTAATTATTAAAAAAACATAATTGTTAGACAATAGTTGACTATTTTAAATTAAAATTAATTAAAATATGAATGCATTTGTTGGCGATTAGCCGCCAAATTAGAATTTTTTTTATTTTCTTATTATAAATTATTTAATGTGTTGAAATGTTGTGGTTCATTAATGTCAGAATAGATTTTAAGGTTTGAACACTTTTAATAAATATTAAGTATTATTTATTAAAATATTTTTTAAATAAAAATTTAAGTTAATTAGATATCCGAGGTTTCATTGAAATTACAGCATATCTTATATTAGCACTTAAAGTTAAATTCACTATTTTCTCAATATATTTTGATATGAATTAATATAAAAATTAATGACTAAAATTATACACAAATTGTAAATTATTTTAAAAGATAATATTAATATTAAATATTTAATTGACATCTAATCACGGAATACAACCATACAATAAATCATTTTAAAGGTCTAAGTCAAATCTGACTGTCTTTTTTCTCTTGTCTCTATCCATATTTTCATATCATACATATCTATCGCATTGGGCGTTGAATACCCGTTGTTGTTATTATTATACTTTTTATTTATTTATATATTTATATAATTATATTAATCCAAATGCAATTTTAGAATTTTAAATTACTTTCTCAATTTATATAAACTCGTAAAAATAATAGTAGATAGTTTTTAGTATGAATTTTATACCTAATGTTCGCAACATCACAATAAAGCCGATAAGATTGGATAAAGTAGTATGATATTTTCTAATTATTCACTTTTTCCGTATTTGATTTTTTGATTTTGCTTTAAATTTTTATATTTTAATTAATTGCATGAAATAAAAAATGCTGACGTGTATACACATTGATTTTTTATACCCACAAAAAAAATTGAGTTGACCCATTGGGTTAAGAATTATATAAATATTAGTCCTTTGAAAACAAAACCATTTTATTTATATTTATATTTATCTGAGTTCATTTTCAGAGAAGAAAAAGAGTGACACAGAAAAAAACTGAGAGAGAAGAGAGAGTAATGGCTGGTGGAGCATTGACTGATGGAGGACCTGGCAAAAGAGCTCATCTGTATGAACACAAATTCACTCTTTATTTTGCATTTACTTGTCTTGTTGGCGCTCTTGGTGGTTCTCTTTTCGGTTATGATCTTGGTGTTTCAGGTATATATATATATATATATTCTTGATTATTCTTCGTTTGATTTTATTCAATTCAAATTCAAATTCAATTAACTGTTTACATGGTCTCGTTAGGTTTAGATTGGTTCGATAATCCGAATTTTGTAATGATAGTTTTTTTTTTTGTTTTTGGTTATGAGATTTATGATTCTGTTAATGTTATTATTTTTAATGGAAAATTCATGTTTTTGATTTTTATTTTTGGCAAAAATGAACCACTTGTACTAGTTGTACGTTATGAATATGTGTGAATTGAGAATTTTTCGAGGTACAATGACGTGTTGAATTCATCAGTTTTTTTGAAAATGGACAAAATGACAAGTGTTGCAGAAAGGGGCTTTTTTTAGCCATTTTTGCATAAATTAAAAGTATGAGTAATTTTAGCTTCACTTTTCTGATTCTTTTGGGATATTCCTTATTTTATGCTCTTTTTTTTCAGTATTGAAAATGTTTAGACCAAAGGTATTTTTGGTTCTGCCGTTAAAAAAAATTAGGGAATTGATTTTGTAAAATTGATTCTGGTTGTAAGTGATTTTCTGTAAAAATTTTATGTGATTTTCTGTAAAAATTTTATGTGATTTTCTGGTGTAATAGTAAACTGGATTCTGCTGTAAACTGGATTTTCTTTTCTAAGTGGTTTTCTGTAAATTTTTAATTTGATTTTAAGTGAATTGATTATGGATAAAAGTGATTTTCTCATGTAGTGTTACTTAAGGTTTAACTTTACCATTCAGGATCATTAATGACTCCACCTATAATATTCCCCTTATAGAGATTCTATATGGTTTAGGAGGTTATGACTTATGGCTGACTTAATGCATTAATGATATTCAATTATTGATATTGATGTAAAAAATTACCAGAAGTTTTCTTGGTGTTTTGACAGGTGGTGTGACTTCCATGGACGATTTCTTGAAGGAATTTTTTCCGGATGTGTATAGGAAGAAGCAGGCTCATTTGAACGAGACGGATTATTGTAAATATGACAATCAAGTGCTGACGCTGTTTACGTCGTCTCTTTATATCTCGGCACTTGTTATAACTTTTTTTGCTTCCTATTTGACAAGAAATAAAGGGAGAAAGGCCACTATCATTGTAGGAGCTCTTAGCTTTCTTGTTGGAGCTATACTCAATGCAGCTGCTCAGAATATTCCAATGCTAATCATTGGTAGAGTCTTTCTTGGCGGCGGCATTGGCTTTGGAAATCAAGTAAGTAACATGGATCCGTGACACAAATCAAGCTAATTTTATAGAAAAATGTTACTAGTTAACGTGTTTATATGAAAATGCTAGTGGTTAATTTGTTGTTAGGAAAAAGAAGAATTTGTTAGCAGCAAATATTGAATCAGATACCTTACTGTCATGTCAAATTGTGCAGGCTGTTCCTTTGTATCTATCTGAAATGGCACCCGCTAGCAGCCGAGGAGCAGTAAACCAACTGTTTCAGTTTACGACCTGTGCCGGAATTTTAATTGCAAACTTAGTGAACTATTTCACTAACAAAATTCATCCTCATGGTTGGAGAATATCACTTGGTTTGGCAGGTATTCCAGCAGTTCTGATGCTTCTAGGAGGTATTTTTTGCGCTGAGACGCCTAATAGTCTTGTGGAACAAGGAAGGTTGGACGAAGCAAGAAAAGTGTTGGAGAAAGTTAGAGGTACAAAAAATGTTGATGCTGAGTTTGAAGATCTAAAAGATGCCAGCGAATTAGCCCAAGCAGTGAAGAGTCCATTTAAGATACTTCTAAAGAGGAAGTACAGACCCCAACTAATAATCGGAGCATTAGGGATTCCAGCATTCCAACAGTTAACAGGAAATAATTCCATCCTCTTCTACGCACCTGTCATCTTCCAGAGTTTAGGATTCGGAGCTAACGCATCTCTTTTCTCGTCTTTTATTACCAACGGAGCTCTCCTTGTTGCTACTGTCATCTCAATGTTTTTAGTTGACAAGTTTGGTAGAAGAAAATTCTTCCTAGAAGCTGGTCTTGAAATGATATGCTGCATGGTAAACACCGAAACACTACTTGTTTGTTTCTTCTCTGTTTCTTAACTTGATAATAAAGATACATTAATTTTGATTATGATTGATTTGCAGATTATTACTGCTGTGGTTTTGGCGCTAGAGTTTGGACATGGCAAAGAACTTTCAAAAGGCATAAGTACACTTCTTGTTATTGTGATTTTCTTGTTTGTGTTGGCATATGGAAGATCTTGGGGTCCCCTAGGATGGTTGGTTCCAAGTGAGCTCTTCCCATTAGAGATAAGATCAGCTGCACAGAGTATTGTGGTTTGTGTCAACATGATCTTCACTGCCCTTGTTGCACAACTTTTTCTTCTCTCACTTTGTCACCTTAAATATGGAATCTTCTTGCTGTTTGGTGGCTTAATTGTCTTCATGAGTCTCTTTGTATACTTCCTTTTGCCCGAAACCAAGCAAGTTCCTATTGAGGAGATTTATCTTCTGTTCGAAAACCATTGGTTTTGGAAGAACATTGTAAGAGATGAAAAGGACCAAGAACAAGCATATTATCAATAGGAAAACCCGCCACTTGAAATTCTTGCAAACTAGATTGAACAAGTATAGGTTTATCTTTTTTCTTCTTAATCAATTGTTTATGCTTGCATTATATTTATAAATAGATTACAATGTTTCTTTTAAGTTTTGGCTATGTTCACACTCTTGAAAATGTATCGAATAAAATTATATTATTTGATGAAGTACGTGTTATTCAATATATATCTCTGGTCCACAGTATTTATTTTCTGTTAGATAAATGAAATTTGTCTGAGAATGAAAACAAATTTCCAACTATTATTAGGTTATCTAAGATGGTAACGTTGTACCTTCTATTTCATACACAAACAATTAATAGATGTCACATCAAGATAGGGATCAGAAATAGCATTTCAAATTTTGAAAGTAAAAGAATACCATACTTTTTTGATATTACTGAAAACCAAAACCATATTTAACCTTATTTATTTGTATTTTATACCACAATATTTCAATCCATATTTTCTACCAAACATTACCCATTATTGATACCTTGAAATTACTTTAAGCCATAGAGGTTGACCACATAACGAGAAAAAAAAACTGGCAATTAATATTGGCAACCTAAAATATAAAGATAAGAGAGTAATTTTTTACGAATACTAGCAAGAAAAGTAGTGTAAAGGATAGAGACAGAATAAAAAATACTATGATTTACTAACTTATGATAAAAAGTAGTAACATTTTTTTTGTTTACAGATGCACTAAGTAAGATTCAGTTGGCAAAAATATGCATCATAATTCCAGACAGTATCTTATGTTAGTAGTTTAGCAAGTTCATCAACTCCTAATGTTCCGTGTGGAACAAGATTCATAAATCTCTCATCAAATTTTCCTTTACTTCGAATTCTAGGACTCTTCTGCCTTGTACCTTTTGTGGTAATAGTGGTAGTTTCTCTTGTCTCCAATGCCGGTGCTGGTGCTTCTTGCTTGTCACTTTTTTGAACCACAGCAGCCTCCTTTCTATGTTTCATAAAAACAGGTCCATGTGGAGCTGATTTGGAAAAGGAAACTGTGGTTCGATAAATATTGTCGGCATCCAACAAATCTTTATCTAAAACAAGTGCACTGCCTAGCTCAATAGCTTGCTCCAATAGTAATAAAATTCCTTTCATACAAGGGGCGGCTGACCTTGGTAACAGACTGACATCAGTTGTTGCAGAATCACCTAGCATTGCACCTGATCTTGAAATTGAAGTAGAAAGACTGTGAGTGACGCTTTTGTCGTCCATTATATCCACAGTTCCATGTCTATCATTCATAGCTTTTGAGGGGCATTCGATGTGGCTACCATCGTGTGATATGGTAGTAACCGGGCTGATGCTCCTATAAGGTTTTGGTTCACCATAGGAATCTGTGGCAAAGTTTGTGGTTTCAGCATCGTGGTCTTTTGGGAGTGAAGCTTCGGCTATCACAGTCGTAGATTGCTTGCTATTTTTGGTGGGACACGGAACCTCAACCTTATGACTAGTGTCATGTGATACATTGCTTGCATTTTTTGTGTTATTATTCTGTAGACTTGGTGCCGTGACATCAAGAGCTTCTGACTCCAGTGTTTTGTAATTTTCATTGCCAACATCAATTTTATTGGCTTCCTTCTGGTCATCTCCGAGATCAGGTAAAGAGGACTTCCAATTTCGTCCTCTCCACATAAGTATATGCTCATTTTCATATGAAATCAACGTGCACGGAACAAGATCCTACAGTCAGAGAACATATGTGAAAGAAAGGTGTTAAAATGCCGTCCTTATAAATAATAATAACATCCATGAGACATGTCTATTCTATGACCAAATAAAAAAAAAACAAAAGAACACAGAAGAATCGGCGTGCTTTTCAACACAGGATATGAAGTTGTTTATACCCTTAGTTTTGCTCCAATCTTTCGATAGTCACTTTTATTTAGTCCTTGGCAATTTACCCGTACTAGTTCACACTCTTCAAATGCCTCTCTAACATTGTTTACAAGGTTATAATAAACACCATTTTTTCCTGTTACAAGAAGAAAAAAAAATCCAATTAAATAAGCATGTTTATCAGAAGAATAAAAAGACAGTCATCTAGACTTAGTTCACTGTTAAAACTATAATGAAAACACTTAAAAAGGTACCTAGCTTGTATATGGGTGTCAATTTCCTTCCCTTTTGACGCATTTCAGTTGCTTCTTCAAGCGTTAGACCTTCTGGAACTTGCTGAATCAGCTTCGGATATACTGGAGCCACGGGTTTCCACAACATGAGAGGAAAACGCGGACGTGTTTTATAATTGTAATTTCTTCCTCGAAATAGGTAAAGAACACCACCCCTTCTGGAAATGACCTTCCCTCCCGTCTTTTCCTGTCAAACCACATAACATATGACAAGAGGAACATAAATAATAAAAGGCAATATATTTGGAAATTTCCATTTCCTTGCAAATCTAGCATTTCCCAAACCACCCCTCCTCCTTTCCGTCATCGACACATGATGGTGGGCGATTGAGGGATGATAATATCGAAAAAATAATACTACCCTACAATCAGCGACGGAACCAAAGATTTAAGATTTTGGAGGAAATAGTTAAAGAAACCCGGCTAAAGAGTTAATAGGGGGTTCGATAGTCAAAAACACTGATTCAAAGACTTACTATGTCGCAGGCAAGTCAATAGCCAAAGACATTAGGGAGGAGTGAAACTTATTCGAGTCTGTTTCAATGAAGAACATAAAACAATATACAAGAGAAATGTAAAGAATAAAGCACAAATTTGTTTGCATAATTCTGTTCCTCACAAATCTAGCATTTCCCTAATCACCATCTCCACCTGTATTCTATTACATTATCAACACCAATGGTAGTGGGCGATTAAAGGCATAACTTGTGAGATATGTGAATGATTATACTATAATGAAGTATGAAAAAAGCATTACCCTAAAATAAGTGGCAGAGCCAAAACTTAATAAGGGGGCGAATAGTCAAAAACACCAAGACAAAGACTTTAGATTTGTTTCACACTGAACGTGAGAATTTGGCTTTAAGAGGGACTTGTTGCATTTTCTTCCATTTGCAGTGAAACAAACCTTTATCAAACAAGCACAGGTAGCGGCCAAAGACTAGGGAGACAATGAAACTTGACTCCAAAGACTAGGGAGACAATGAAACTTGACTGAGTTCGTTTTCATGAAGAATTATTTGGGGGAGGGGGACATAGGGGCAGGTTAAGGTAAACCATTCAAAGAAAATTAAAACAAAAAAATAAAGAATATTCAGATCATTAAGAGAAACCAGAGAAAGGAAGTTGCCAGTGAACAAAGGGGAGCTCCAAAACATTATCAAGAGAAAAACAAAGGAATGATTACGTGATTCTCCAACATAACATGACAATGCATATTGCTTTAATCATTCTATAATTTGATTTTATATAAAGAAAAGGAAGTAAAAGCAAATATTACAAAGATACAACACACATGACTTGCTGAAAGTTTCATCTCAAAAACTTCTCGCGGCATATTTTAGTTGTCATCTCTTCAAAAAAGACCTTTTGAATCAAGATAAACCGGTAATAGGCTAAGAGGGAATAGGAAACGAACCTCCAACTGCTCACACACATTATCCATGTCAACAGTACACACTCCTATACACTTGATCTTGCACACCCTTCTGCGCTTCCAATGAGCATGTATATTATCCAACATGTTATGTGTGAAACCATCTCTACCTAAAACAACAAAATTGAATAAATGCCCAAATACCTACAAACATCAATTAAACATCTTTGCATAAACAACCTAATCACTGGGCATAGAAGGAGCTTTTATGAAGAGTTGTGCAAGTGACATTTTCAACTAAAACACTTAAGTGCTTGAATATAAGTGACTTTTATAGTAACAAATAAAATAAAGTAAGTTTAGATAAGTTGTACGCCGATCTCATAGGCTACTATAATGGAGTGCTTATGGTCAATAAGCTGAAAACAACTTATGGAAGTGTTTTTATAAACTCTTCCAAACATACGAAACAACCTCATAGTGTTTATATGTTCAAATACTCAATCAAAACTATTTCAGGTCGTCTGCAAGGCCCACGAAGAAGGCTCAATAGCAAGCGCTAGGGAGAAAGGACACTCGTCCCTGCCGAGGACATACAATCACGCCCCCATCACATCTCTCACCATTGAACCTAATTGAATGGCTACCTGCACAAAGCGCCAGAACACATGTGGATGGTTTAAACCGTCCTACCATATAAAGATTAGATTGCACCATTTTAGGTATTCAATTCATTCTCACTCTCATACTATTTTTCACTTCATAACTGACTTATGTGTTGGGGCGCTAACCTTGCAGGTCCACCCCCTCTAGATCGTAGGGTAAGTTTACTCCATTGCAGCAAAGCTTCATTTCACTACTTCTCTAAACATTTCAGGTTAAATCGTAGCGTAAGCTTACTCCACTGCACCAAGCTTCATTTCACTACTTCTCTACACATTTCAGGTTCCTTAACGGTACAAAAGCATTAAGCACACAAGAGAAGGAAAAAACATATACATACCCAAATTGAGTTGGCGACTGGATTTCGAGCAACTTTGAACCAACTCATTGATCTCCTCTTTCGTCAAGGGTTCACCCAATATCTCTTCTCTGGACCGAACATACCTAGGACTAGTCCCCGGCAAATACGGACCGGGAGACTGAACCGGTTTAACTCCTTTCTTATGCGGCGGTGGAAGCACAAAAGAATCAAACTCCTTCAACTTCTTCTTACTCGGAGGAAGCGGAGGCCGACCGGTCCAAGGTCTCGGCATAGTAACCGGTCCAAACGGAACAAAAGCCGGTTCACGCATTTTCAACGGTTTCGATTTGGGGGTTTCAGTGTAACTGTACTTGAATTCAAACGGAGCACCCTCAATTACGTAAGAGAGTCCGTCGTCGCTAATCCTCACATTGTCAGGAGGTTTGTTAACTGATCTTAGTTTTTGTTTGGGGATATTGGAGAACTTTAGCGCCGGGTGTGATTGTGAACTCACTTTGGGCTTTGCTGGTTTGTTGTTGTTGTTATTGTTGTGTTTTCCGGTGGAGTTGGGTTCCGGGGAATGACTGTTGGCGGTGTTGGAGCGGGAGGAATGGAGTTTTGTGGATGGACGCGGGTTCGGATTCGGGTCAATGGGTGAGGAGAAGATGGGGAAAGTGATTGGGAGTTTCAGAGCCATTGAAAAGACAAAGTGCTTCGCATCTCAGTGAAGTGATGAGATGATACGGAGGGCGTCGTCGTTTTGGTTGATTCTTAATGGCTGTTAACACAAAACCAACGTTATCCTAAAGAAGTTTTTTCTTCCGGACAATAAATAGATCATCAATCCTAAGTTGAAACTAGGGCTGAAAATGGGTTGAGTCGAGTCGAATTCACCTCAGCCCGACTCGACTCGTTAAAAATTGTTCGAGTTCGGGTTTGACACGAACTTTTTTTTAAGCTCAAACTCGACTTGATATAAGTTCACGAACAGTTCAACTCGTTAGGTTCATCTCACATGATTTACGGACTTAAAAACTATTTTTTTAAATATATATATTTTTTAGTATATCTGACATTTTAAATAAATATATTTTTTAAAAATAAAATATTAAAATAAAATAAAAGTTATCATATTGAAATTTAACTTTATCTTTAAAATCTACTAATTCAAAACCTACACAACTTTCAAGAGATATGTTTGAGAGTCTAATTCAAAAACTACTAAATTGAAGATTAAATTTGTTTAAGATTTGGAGTAAATATTTAAACCTAATCTTAAAGACAATATAATTCTTCTCATATGTAATCGAGTTGACTTATGAACCTAACGAGTCGAACTATATATAGTTCAAGTTCAGCTCATTTAGTTAACGAACTTAATTTTTCGCTCATACTCAACTCATTTGGTTCATGAACATAGTTCAACGATTTAATTGTTGAATCGAATTCCGAACTATTTTCGAGTTGGTTTGGTTCATTGTCAGCCCTAGTTGACACCAAAAGCTACACTATCGTAAGTAATGTTTACCAATAAGGTGAACAGTACATGAACATTGTGAAACAGCGTATGAACAGTATGATAAATAGTGCATGAACAGTATGATGAATAGTGTATGAACAGTACTCGTGGTTTTTTAAGATATGAAACAAAGTTGGATTAATAAAATATAAAAAATTGGTTAATGAAGTGATGAAATTGGTTAATAAACGTACAGAATTAAAAATAATTTTTAACAATAAATAAAATTGATTAATAATATGTAAAATATTGATTAATGGAGTTATGAAGTTGGTTAATCACACAATTTCATATCAGTATCATTTAATTTAAAAAAAAAAAATTATATATTTTTTTTAAAAAAAATATTGGCTTAATTGCAACTTTGGTCCCCCTATTTTGTGTTTTTTTGGATTTTGATCCCCCATTTTAAAAACCACGATTTTGGTCCCTTTTTTAAGTTTCGAGATTAATATTAGTCTCCTTGCCATTTTAAGTCATGTTTTTAATGATGTGACGCGTTTACTGATGATGTGGCATTTTCATGTCATTTAAAATGGTCTTATTCATTTTAATATCATTTTCATGTCATTTAAGTTTTGTTTATTTCATTTTCAGAAAATTAATAAAATAAAACCTAAATGTAAAACCCCTGTTCTTTCATCTTCAACCCATTTCTTCAAACCCAGTTCAAGAATGAAGATTCTTGGTCTTCCCCTTTCACGAACGAATCTTCCCCTTTCACGCACGTAATTAAAGATTCTATATCAAACCACAGCTCGCTTCAAATCAAACCGCAGCTCGCTTCCTGTTGTCTCTGAAATGGCAAACCGAGTACATGTGTCGAGGTATGTTTCGTAACTCACCTCTGAATACAAAAACCCTAAACACGCAAATGACGTTTGTGTTCTGTCATAGCACATGATTTGTTTATACCAACTCTCGGTTTTATCTATGTTTTAATTCAGAAACTGACGTTTGTGTTTTGTAGACCCTCTGATACCATTTCCATGTCATTTAAAATGGTCTAATTCATTTTAATATCATTTCCATGTCATTTAAGTTTTGTTTATTTCATTTTCAGAAAATTAATAAAATAAAACCTAAATGTAAAACCCCCACTCTTTCATCTTCAACCCATTTCTTCAAACCCAGTTCAAGAATGAAGATTCTTGGTCTTCCCCTTTCACGAACGAATCTTCCCCTTTCACGCACGTAATTAAAGATTCTATATCAAACCGCAACTCGCTTCCCGTCGTCTCTGAAATGGCAAACCGAGTACATGTGTCGAGGTATGTTTCGTAACTCACCTCTGAATACAAAAAACCTAAACACGCAAATGACGTTTGTGTTCTGTCATAGCACATGATTTGTTTATACCAACTCTCGGTTTTATCTATGTTTTAATTCAGAAACTGTCGTATGTGTTTTGTAGACCCTCTGATACCCAAGTTGTCAGATTTAGAGTACACCATAGGGGACATTTAATTCAGAATCCAGTTATGTTGTATGTTGATGGGCTTGTAACTGAAATGAATTGGGATTGGGATGTGGACTTGATGTCCTACATGCAAATTGAAGATTTGATCAATAGTGAGGGGTATCGTAATATAAAGTGTTTATGGTATTGGAATCCTAATTTTTTCTTTTCTTGTGGACTTCGGCCTCTGAACAATGATAATGATATCTTAAGGTTAATGGAGGATGTTAGAGGATTTAAGGTAGTCGATCTTTATGTTGAACACAAAGTTGAAGAAATAAGTATTGAGGATGTTATTTTTGAGGAAGATAATGGTGAAAAAGTCAATGGTGAAGGAGCAAACGGTGAAGGAGCAAACAGTGAAGTTAATGTCGAGGGAGCAAATGATGAAGTTAATATCGAGGGAGCAAATGATGAAGTTAATGTCCAGGGAGCAAATGATTGAGTTAATGTTGAGGGAGCAAATGATGAAGTTAATATTGAGGGAGCAAACGATGAAGTTAGTGTCGAGGGAGCAAACGATGAAGTTAATATCGAGGGAGCAAACAATGAAGAGGTTAGTGTTGATGGAGTAGATGAAGAGGTTAGTGTCGATGGAGTAGATGAAGAGGTTAGTGTCGATGGAGTAGATGAAGAGGTTAGCGTTAATGTTGATGACGTAGATGACGAGAGTGAAACAGATCCAGATTATAGCATGGGTAGTGAGGATGACGAGGAAGAGGATGAAGATTTGGAAGATGAAATTGATGTGATAAATTTAGGTGTTGACGTTAGTATTAATTGGAAGACCGTTTTACCTAATGCTACAGTAGAAAAACCTTCAAAGTTGGATGGTAATTCTGATAATGGTAGTGATTCAGATGTGCTTCAAACTCCACCCGGTAGTGATGCTGAAGATGATATGGTAAAGTTTCCAATCTTTAGGGAACCCACAAAACTTGAAGTAGGGATGATGTTCAAGGATAAACAACAAATCAAAGATGCCATAAAGGAGTATGCAATTTAGAACAAGAAGAATCTTGTATTCAAGAAAAATGACAAGAAGAGAATGGTTGTTCAGTGTTTAGATGGTTGTCCATTTCATATTAGGTTTAGCATGAGGACTACCAATCAATATTGGCAACTTGTTAGCTTAACTGATCGTCATGGTTTTCATAGGACATCCAAAAATAGACAAGCAAAAACGGATTGGTTGGGTCGCCAATTTGTGTACACCATAAGACACACTCCTAAAATAAAAACCAAAGGGCTGATTGTAGAAGCTATTAAGAAGTGAGGGGTGAAGTTGTCAAAGGATCAAGCTTATAGAGCCAAGAAAAAGGTAGTGGAATTGATTCAAGGTGCTGGTCATGAATAATTCACACATCTTAGAAGCTATGGTGAGGAGTTGTTAAAGTCAAACCCAAACTCCACTGTTAAAATTAAGTATGCTGATTCAGATGGTGGTCCTGTCTTTGAAAGAATATATGTATGTTTAGAAGCTTATAAGGCAGCGTTTGCAACGACTTGTAGGCCTCTAATAATACTGGATGCTTGTTTTCTTAAAGGGGACTTTGAAGGTCAGTTAATAGGTGATGTTGGTAAGGATGGAAATAACAAGATTTATCCAATCGCTTATACCGTAGTGGAATCTGAAACGAAAGACTCTTGGAAATGGTTCCTTAATTTGTTACTAGAAGACTTGCAATCTATACAAGACAACAAATATGGATTTATATCAAATCAACAGAAGGTTAGTTTTACAGTGCTGCTATTTGTTGTGTGTGTTATGTGTTGTTATGTGTTGTTACAATGTTGTTTGATATGTGCTGCTATTTTGTGTTGATATATGATGCTACTGTTGTTTGATATGTGTTGCTATGTTGTGGCCTAAATCGTCTTTTAGTGAGGCTTTTTATATGAGAGTTAGGATATGTGATGTTGCTACTGCTATGGCCTAAATGGTCTTGTAGTGAGGCTTTTTATATGCACGATTGTGTTATCAAGGATATGAGAGTTAGGATATGTGATGCTGCTATTGCTATGGCCTAAATGGTGTGTTGATATGCATTTAAATAATAAGGGAATTTCAATAACAATTTGATATGTGATGTTGCTACTACTATGGCCTAAGTTAGGATATGTGATGTTGTTACTGCTATGGCCTAAGAAGGGAATTTCAATAACAACTTGATAAGCAAAAGTAAATAAATAGATAGAAAGACTAATGTGAATTTAAATTAATCAAAGACTAACGATGTGTTGATATGTGTTGTTATAGATAAGCCGATCATTTCACTACTTGAAGGAATCAAACATTACATAACAGTGAGAATCTCTGCTCAAAAGGAGAAATTAAGTAGGTACACAGGTGTTACAAGTCCTAACATTCAAAAAGTCTTGGAAAAAACAAAGAGGGCAGCAGAAGGATGGATTGCAACATGGCATGCATATGATGACTTTTCTATATTCGGAGTTTCAAACGGTGTTGAGACATATGATGTGAGCTTGCTTCAATAGAAATGTGGTTGTAGGAAGTGAGATTTAAGTGGAATACCATGTTGTCATGCTATTGCATGCATATGGTATAACAAGAAGGAGCCCGAAGAGTACGTTTCATCATTCTATAGGTATCACCTACTTGTATATTATGTTCATTTACATTCATCTTTTTTGTACGTTTACTAAAATCACTGTGTCATATTGTCTAGGAAATCTACTATTCTGGCTACTTATAGCCATATTATTATGCCAACCAATGGCCCACAACTATGGCCTATTAATGTTGTTAACCCAATCAGCCCTCCAGTCATGCGAAGATCTATCGGTCTAAGAAGAATCGTAACAAGGCGAATGATGAACCGAGGATAAGAAATACATTGCCTAGAACTCTTCAAACTGTCAAGTGCAAGAAATGTGGGAGTTTTGTCCATAACAAACGAACGTGTAAAGGAAAGCAAGCCGCGGAGAGAGCGATTAATCCTAAAGGTGGCAACAAAAAACTTTAAAAAAGGGTGACAAGTCGGGCAAGGAAGCAGGATAACCTGTTATAGACGAGGGACAAACTGTTATAGACGGAGGGTCGCAAGCACTGTCACCAACCCAATATTAGTTTTATGTTTTACTTTACTTTTTGTGATGATGCTATAACATATGTTATGACCAAAAAACTCAAGGTCTTTTTGTTAAAATATGTTGTCTTTAATCCTGCCTGCTATGTAAAGTTACAATGCAGTGCTGTTATGTAATGCTGCCTTCAATGTAATGATATATCAGTCTTGATACATCAACCTTCAATGTTATGTTATGTAGTGCTGTTATGTAATGCTATTGTTTGATATGTAAAGTTACAATGCAGTGTTGTTTATACATCAGTTTATTATTAGAATGCAGTGTTGTTTATACATCAGCCTTCAATGTTATACATCAGTTTATTATTACAATGCAATGTTGTTCATACATCAGTTTATTATTAGAATGCAGTGTTATTATGATACATCAGTGTTCAAAGTAATGTTGTCTGCCTGTTATGTAGTGTTGTCATGATACATTAGTGTTCAAAGTAATGTTGCCTGTCTGTTATATAATGCTGCTCAAAGTAACTCAAATGAGCTCTTTAACATTTGAAATAAACATGCTGCTATTGCAATGTTATCAGTTTGCAATGTTACATAAAGTATCAGTTTGAAAATACACAAAGTAGCTCTCAATTTGAAAATACACAAAGTAGCTCTCAATTTGAAAATACACAAAGTAGCTCTCAATTTTAAATTACTTCATTTGCAAATACATAAACAAGGTTATGTTGCTCTTCATTTGAAATATTATGCAGCTACTTTAATATTATGCTGCATAATACAAGGTTATGCTACTACAATATTATGTTGCTATTTTATTAACACAGACAATCATAACTCTTCATTTGAAATTACTTCATTTGGAAACTACATAAACATCAAAGTAACTACAACATTTGACATTATATTATTTGAGTACATGTATTGCAACTAATGCAAACACAATTAAAAAGAAAAACATCAAAGATAACCCCACAAAATAATACATAAACCTAATTTTCATCTTCAACAAATCTTCATTTTTCTTGATGTCCTTAATCACACCCATAAGCTCCTCATTCTTGTCTTTCAAAGATCTTATCACATCTTTAGCACGACTGCTCATGTCTTCATCAACCCACTGAAAGTAATTACATCATTTTTTCCTCATCACCTTAAAATTACCACAACCATGAAATCTTCTTCCGGGATTATCATATGTCCATGACGTCATCAACGGTGACTCAAGATCACACCAACATCTATTACCTCTTCTTCTTATACCGGACCCAGATTGGTTTGTTAAGGATAAATAAAAATTCGTTTCAGACATGTTGGTAAGTAGGAGGCACGTTGGATTCGAAATTAATGGCTACAGAAGGACTGGTATGGATTTGTTGAGGAAAAGAGGATTGAGTTTGAAGAAATGGCTACAAAAATGGGTTGTTCACGGTGAAAAATGAAATGGAAATGGAAAAAATGAATGGTTGAAGAAATGGGGTTTTACATTTAGGTTTTATTTTATTAATTTTTTGAAAATGAAATAAACAAAACCTAAATGACATGGAAATGATATTAAAATGAATAAGACCATTTTAAATGACATGGAAATGCCACATCATCAGTCAACGCGCCACATCATTAAAAACATGACTTAAAATGACAAGCGGACTAATATTAATCTCGAAACTTTAAAAAGGGACCAAAATCGTGGTTTTTAAAATGGGGAGATCAAAACAAACAAAAAACAAAATAGGGGGACCAAAGTTGCAATTAAGTCATTTTAGTATCGTTCGATGTTAGTTTGTCTTATTTTATTCATTTTCTTTGAACTTAATTTCCTTCTAAATATATGTACAAGCTCTTTTTTTTTGTATACGCACATAATGAATTTTCAAATAAAAGGAATATTTTTCTGAATACTTTCTTCTATGGCTCTTTGCTCTGTACCTTAATGACAAGTCGAATTACTGAAAGAAATATCTTCTGTTTAAAATCCATTAAGAATTCCTTAGAAGACCTAAATAATCACTTAACTTCAAATTGGAACTTCAACAACAGAATTGAAGGTTTCATATGTAGGTTCAATGGAGTTGAATGTTGGCATTTTGATGAGAGTAGAGTACTAAATCTTAAACTATCTAACATGGGATTGAAGGGGAAGTTTCCACGTGGCATTGTCAACTGCTCTTCAATGACAGGCTTAGACCTTTCAATCAATGAGCTCTCGTGAGCTATCCTATCTGATATATTACTAATACTTAAATTTGTAACATCCATGGATCGATTTGATAACAAATTCACTGGTGAAATTCTAATAGATTTAGCAAACTGCACTCACCTAAATGCCATTAAATTTGATAATAACAAGTGAAATTTCGAAAGAACTAAGTCAACTTAGGAGGCTGAAAGTGATTTCTATTTTTAACAATCATTTGTCAGGATTAGTGCAACCGATGATCGACAAATTTAATGGGAATTTGATTTTCAATTATGTTAACAATAATGGACTTTGTGGAGGGTTTTTGAGACCTTGCTCCTTGACAAGTGACAAGCACAGAGAATTTCATCAATCATTCAAGGATGGTCTTATTGTTGGTTATATTTTTTCATTCATTTGTTCTTTTATGATCACTTTTATGTTCTACTTCATTTATGCACATTGGATGCATCTATTAAAGATGAAGAAAAACAAAGAAATATAATTAGGCAAATATATTTTCTCCATCATTAGCGTGAGGAAATAAATGGTAGTTAATCAGATACATGAATTGCTACAAATGTGGTGGGCACACAAAGAAACCAACGAGACATTTCTTCATTATTTTTGTCTTTTTAAACAAATAATGTATTCAATAATTTTTATAGTTTAACAATGTAAAATAAATTTGCAAATGCAGCCACAGATCTCTGGACTATGTGAAAGATTGACCTCGACAATATGGATGGAAGAACTGCGTGGCCCAACAAATTGTCTCTATGGATAATGTCATTGAGGTAGGAAAGATGAGAATAATGTACGAAAGATTTATTTTAGTAGCTTTTAAGAGATAGTTTGACTATCGACTATTTAAAAGGCAATTCCTTTTAGAAACAAGGATTTTGTGCAAGTATAGGCACAAAAATATAATTCTCTTACTTGGATTTTGTATTAAAGGAAAGACTTTTGACATATGCATACATGTTAAATGGAAGGTTTTCCAAATGGTTACATCCTTTAAAAAAGTGAAGTCATGAGATTGAAATGGCATGATAAAGTCAACGTTGCACTTAGAATTGCAAGAGGGTTATTATGGCTACATCATATATGTGATTTGTGCATCGTACATTTGAATATTTGTTCAAAATGTATATTGCTAGATGAGAACTTTTAACCAAAAATATATAAAATGAAATAGTGATAAATAATATGGTCGGGGTTGAAAATTTTTCATAATATATAAAATATAAAAGTTGCTAGATTAAGATGAGAATATTTTTTTAGAATGTATAATATATAAAATATAAAAGTTAAATAATATAGTCGGTGTTGGAGAATCTGCAAAACATAAGATACTTCGTCGATTCATAGTTTAATTTTGGAGCTCCAAATAGATAATTTATACGAAAAATCTTATTAACATATTCAAATTGACATCCCTAATTATATATGACATTCACATAAGAATTTTAAATTTACATTAATTATTTTTTGTAATAAATTAAAATTAATGTTTTATAATAAATAATTTATATATAATTATAATTAAATTATATAATGAAATGTCATGAGAGTCTTAACTTTTAATATTAAAATATTAATTTAGTAATTATTTAATTATAATCGCATTAAAAGTAGTTTAATTATCATTTAATCTCAGTCTAATTTTGAATATCTTATTACATTAAAAGTTGTTTAATTTTTCTTTAATTTTATTATAAAATGAAATGTAATCAAATTACTCAGATTACATGCTAATTAAATAATTTTTAATCTGATGAGAATTAAATTACTGCAATATTAATATTGTGGTATTGAAAAACGACTTTATTTTTTTTTCTTTCTATTTTCGTTTTCAAATTTAGTTATTTTGTTTGTAGTTTTCTTTAAATATATATTTTTTAAAACAATTTCATAAAGTATTTCAATTTTTTATTGGTAAAAGTTGTTAGATACTTCATTTATAATTTAATAGTACAGTGAGAAAAGAGTGTGAAATGAGAAAAATTTATGTTAGTCTGAGAATCAAAATCAAGTTTCGGAAAATAATAATAGTACAGTGACATAAGATTCACATTATTTGCCATTATTACTAGTATCACTACCACAGTACACAGTAGAGTTACCCTATTTAGTTTTAATTTTATCATAGTTACTTTTTACCGCCCTAGTTAGTTTTTATTTTACCATAGTTACTTTTTACAGAGTTTGTTAGAAATTTTATGATAGTTACTTTTTACAGAGTAGTTTGTTAGAAATCTTACCATAGTTAGTTTTTACAGAGTTTGTTATACCTATATTTCATTTACAAGCATTAGAGCAAGAATTGGAGTTGAAAAGCAGAGAAAGAAATCATGAGCGATAGAAACGAAATCCAGGTTAGCCATCCATCTTCTGCTTCATATTCTTCTTCCTTTTTCGGCTATTTTCTTCTTCTCTCAAACTACAATGCAATGCATGTTGATACGTCTTTAGCATTTTTGTTAAGATATTGCAATGATCACTTGTTTCAACACACTACTGAAGATTTTGATTTTGATTTTGTTTTTCATTTTGATTTTGATTTTGTTTCTGATGTTGATTTTGATTCTTATTTTGATTTTGATTTTAAGTTTCTGCTTCTAATGTTAGTGATTAATCGAGGGATCTAACAAATTTACTGTTTCTGCTATCAGCTAAAATAATCTATTGCATTTTTATTTCTCTCTTCAATGCAATGTATGATGAAATGTTTTTACCATTTTTCTTTGAAAACACACTGAGTAAAACGTTACGAGTTTTTTTGGTTTAAAAATGCAGTTTCATACTTCTCGCCTCTCCTTTGGCGGTGGTTTTGTGTATTCGCTGCGGCGGTTCTGTGTATGTGATTGATTAGCATTTTTATTATGATAAAGCAATGATCACTTGTTTGAACAAACTAGAGTAGCTTTTGATTTTGATTTTGTGTTTTTACTTCTAATGTTAGTGATTAATTGAAGGATCTAACAAATTTACAGTTTCTAAGTAATCTATTGTTTGTTTTTAGCATTTTCATTTGAACACTCGCTGAGTAAACGTATTCACCACGGTTCGCGGTTCTGTGTGTGTAATTGATTGGCTTTCTACTTCTTTTTAGTTTATTTTGATTTGTTTGTTAAAAAAGTTCTACGCACTTTGCCAAGTTAAACTTTAAGTTTTCCTAATATTAGAATTTAGATCCTCTTTTAGGCATTCAGAATTTACTATTTACACAGACTTTTCCTTAAAATAAATTAAAAAATGTCGATTACCAAAAAAAAAATTTAAACAATGTCACAATTAATTTGTTTATTTGCTTATAGATAGATATAAATGTAATTGTGAGTAATTAATTTTCTTATATATGCTTATAATTCTAACTATGAATAATTTTAATTTAGTTCAATATCGTGATGTTTGTTTCTTACACATGCACAATACATATTTGCTCACTCACACACAAGTTCTCATTTAATTTTCAATATACAGTTGGTGACTGTCCCAGATCCACATGATTGCTTTGCTTGCTTTTTTTCAGTTTTGACAATCATTTGTTAACTCTAAAATTCTATATCTTATTTGCAGCATTTTTATACCCTTCAGTTCCATGGTGCATGCAGTGGAAATCCTGGACCAGCTGGTGCAGGAGCTGTACTGTTTGATGAACAAGGGAGTTTGGTATTAAGCTCGTGCAACAATTCAATTACATTATATTCTTTAAGATGTAGCTTACTCATGTTTTTTTTCTCCCACAGCTGTATCAGTTTCGCCAAGGGCTGGGATATGCAACAAACAATGTTGCTGAGTATCACGCATTAATTTTTGGAATGCAACAAGCATTAATGAAAGAATGTAAGAACCTCACTGTCCGAGGAGACTCCCAGCTTGTTATCAAACAGGTTTTTTTTGTTTTCTTTCTATTTTTTAGGCTGCATTATTATTTATTAGTATACAGAAAGCTTTATTTCATTACTTAAACTTAAATGTGCATTTGAATGTTGATAACATGAAAACACAGTTCAATTGTTCACAAAATATTGCACTGTGATTTGAGAACTCTAACTAATGACACGATTTCTTCAGTAGCAACAATAGGAACTATTCCCTTCCCTAAAAAAGAAAGGCTCCTTTGATTCATTTAATTTCATATTCCTCCTAATTGGTTTGATATTGTTTGGTTTGATTTGAGAATTCTAACTAATGACACGATTTACTCCATTGCTACTATTCACTTAGTACACATTTTTCTTTTCTAAACAGTTTCAAGGTTTATCTAGAATTGACAACCCGTATCTAAGGAGCTTGTGTGATGAAGCTTTGGAGCTGAGCAATAACTTTCGCTTATTTCGCATCACCTACATTTCTAGGGTATTTATTTAGCAATTTGGTCAGTAATGTTGTCACTGTCTCAATTGGGTATTGCTTTATAAAGATTTTTTAACTTGCATGCCTGTCTATGAATGCTATAGAGGAAGGCATTTCCAAATGCTTGAATAATTTAATTATGGTGAATAGAAGCTCGGTATCCTAGCTTTTTTTTTAGAGATCACTTGCACCGATGACATTAGGTTCTTAAATTATATGAATGCTTACTTTCAGTTCTTATTAATTTTCTCTTGGATTTTTATATTACAATTCTTTATGTTTTTGCCTAAGTTAACAAATAACATGTTTTTAACTATTTCTTTTATTGTTTAAAGGTCCATAACACTCTAGCTGATGCCCAAGCAAACCTGGCCATTAATCTCCAAGGTTAGACTTCAAAACTTTTCTGAATTTCCTATAGGTTTCAATTAATGTACTATTCTCTGATTTCCTAATTGAGAATTCCATTCAATTGTAGCCAAAGCTGCTTTGAAATCAAAAGCATCTTTGGTTTGTTCTTGTTCATGATTTTTGATTTCAATTGATATATTTTTCTTTAAAGCTTTTTGAAAAACAATATTTTGAACAATCTGTTTATAGCTTGGCACAAGATTATATTTTTCATATTTGTATTTGGTAGGGAACATTAAATTTAATGGATTTTAAACTTTTTTGCAGAGGGTCAAGTTGAAGAAGATCGTCTCTATTAATGATCATCATGAAAGCATGTGTCACTGTCAAAAACTATTGGCAACTATGTTACATTTCTTTCTAGCAATTTCGCATGTCAAATGTTGTTTGCAATATTGTCAATTTGAACATGTCTGTAGATGTTTACCATTAGCACCTTAAGGACCTAAATTTTAGGTTCATAACTTTGAATTTCTATTTTTAAAGTTCTTTAAAAACACTTTTATATGTGATACTGATGGGCCACCATTACTATAACCCAAAAGTTAAGGTACTTGTAGAATATACACAACAAAAAAAGGAAAATTGATTTGGCAAATTCTCTAACAAGGGGAGTGTTTGCACGATGGTAGTCCTTTAGTATGAACAAGTAACTTGGGTATCATACAATTATTCTTATTATTTTATAGATTTTAGAAGAGTAAAATAAGTTATGTTTTTCACCTACAAAAAATGAAATATTCTAACAATTTTAAAAAATTATACTTTTATTTTATTTTATTTTATTTTATTTTTTAATATTTAGCCATCTTCTCCTATCTTTTAATATGTTTTATACTTTTTTTAAAAATCCTTTAATATATTTTTGTATTCAAAAATCCCTTTAATAAGTTTTAAGAAAAAATAGACTAAAATATATTCTAAGGATTAACAATAATATACTAAACCGTCAATTTTTTAAACATTCCCTGCCTAATCTTGAGGAGCCACAAGTACGGGCCCTTTGGGACATAAATAGTGAGCGAATTAGGGTAGCACATAATGATCCAAGCATTTAAAATTCAGGGTAGCACATAATGATCCAAGCATTTAAAATTCATTCAGTTGAATTTGTACATATAATACAATCCATTGTGCTAGCAAATAGGTATATGCTCTTAATGTAACTTCAACAACACTTAGTTGGACCAAATCTAATTCGTCCAAAAATTTTCGTTGAGCTTTTAGACTTAAGTCAATTAGAGACGAAAGCACTTAGAATTGAATACAAGAGTATGAGCTTGAGATATCTAACTATGAATTTATTTTTAATATTGATTATAATGTATACGATGATGCAAGTAATTAGGCAGCTAATTGAATGCCATCTAAAGGCATTGTTGCAACGGATTCTCATAGTGATTAGGCAGCTAATTGTGTGACATACAATGGCATGGTAGCCAATTACATGGCAGTTGAGATCCTTAAAACTTTGTTTGGAAGAGAATGACTTTGAAAAGATCCTTAAAACTTTGTTTGAAGGGAATGACTTTGAAAAAAAAAAGGCGGGATAGAGTAAAAAGAATTGAGGAAAATGAAATTAGTTGGTGGAAAGAAATGGAAACTTTTTATTTTTATTTTTATTTTTATGAAAAACAAATTTCATTAAACGAAAATAGCGGAAGAAACAGAAATTAAACCACGGTTTGGAGGCCCTTCCAATCAAGTCTTGAACCCAAATAATTTGCCTAAAGCAACTAGATTGTGGGCATCCACATTAAATATCTTATTTAAGTACATAACAAAAACTTCCTCAAAACTATCAAGGAAAGATTTGCAGTCACGAGCTACAAGGTTTAAAGCAACATTAGAACAAAGAGAATTTATGCAGTCTGACATTAGATTGGACAAAAACTCTATCCAAATTGAGCTCCTTTGCCAACTGCAAACTCTATCTAGTGATAAGGATTTCAACAATTGTTGGTTTGATCGAGATGAGTTCCTTTCGACTTGAAGCTAACACAATCATCAAGTCATGATCTTTAATAACACAACCAAAAGACGCAAAGGCTTCAAAGAAGCAACCTGCATCAACTTGTAACGTAGACATATCCCTAACAATAGGCTTCTCATTCCCATTCTGAGTATGACGCACTTTTAACCTCGACACTGGATTCTCCTTGTTAAACTCCAAGAAACTGTCCCAAGCCTCTATTTCCAAGGCTGGAGGATCACTTTTCTTCTGTTGGAAGTGTTAGACACTCCCAGCGTTCTAAACTTTTTAAAGGATAATGCACATTAATTGGGAACTCAAGGTATCCAATCCATTTAAATAGCTTAACAACCACTCATTTAACATAGTGTTGAGAGGAATACAAAATCCTAAAGGGGAAGAAAAGCAAGCTAGCATAAAGAATTCACACTGCATAAACAAGTGTTAAGCAGACTTTGGAGAAGAATGGGAGAAGGAACAAGAAGAATATGACCTGATGTCTTTTCTTTGGAGGTTGGTTTTTCTTGGCAGAATATCTTTACTAAATCTCCATAGGAAGTTTTTGAATCTAGGGTGTAGATGAGAGTGCCACAACTTCTTCCAAAGGTTCTAATATGGAGTACTATAGGGTCCAGGTTTCTTGCTTATCTTCATCTGATATATAGTACGATAGGTTGATCTAACCGAATAGTCACCATCCTTTTAGGTGTGCTAAATTAACTCATCATCGGGCCTACGAAAAGAGATAGAGGAATGTTAAGGATTTGAGAAGCCCTCTCAAGGTCAAAACAGGACATGTATTGGGATTTGAGGTTTAAACCAACACCAAACTCCACTTATCTTTCCATATTCTGACTTTCGCACTTGTTCCTATTTTCAATTGAACACCTTTGGTCACAAGGTCTTTTACGCTGAGTATGCTTCTCCAGGCATAACTCGGGGAAAAATAAATAAACACATCTAAAACAGAACATTAGGATAATAACGAACCTTGAACACCTTTGAAAGCAGAGATTCTTCACCTGATAGAAGCCTCCAGTAGTGCTTCCTCCAATAGACTAGTGTTAAAGTCACTAATACCTCTGAACCCCATGCCTCAAGTACCTTTAGAACATATCAATCTCTCCCAACTGAGCAAATGTATTTTCCTTTCGCCATTCTTTGAATCCCACCACAATTTGGCTAACATGGCCTCGATCTTCTGGTGCACACCTTTAGAAAGCTTGTAGCAGCTCATTATATAACTCAGAATAGCTTGAGTTAGGACTTTGATAAGAACTTCTTTCCCTGACCTAGATTAAACTTCTTCTTCAAACCTTTTATTTTCTTCCAAACTATATCAATCACAAGGTTAAAGATCTCCTTCTTCGATCTACCAAAAACTACTGGAAGGCCCAAATACTCGGAGTGGCGAGTCACAGTCTATACACTCATCCTATTATGCATAATTTCTTTATCATCAACAATCACATTTTGACTAAAGGACGCCTCTGATTTCTCCAAGTTCACCACTTGAATTGAGGAGTCTTGGTATTTTCTGAGAATCTCCATAACATATTAAGCTCATATTGAGTTTTCAAGGGCAAAACGAAGACTATCATCAACAAATAACAAACAAGAAATGGTTGGAGCCTTCCTAGCTAATTAGATGCCATGAATATAATTCCATTGATAAGCTTTCTTTAGAAATCTTGAAAAAATATCAGCACACAATATGAACAAATAAGGAGAGAGGGGATCCCCTTGTCAAAGGCCCCTCTCTGAGGGGAAGCTTATATTAGGTAACCCATTCATAAAGATTTGATAGAACACCATAAATATACACCGATGAATCATAGAAACCATAGACTCCAGGAAGCCCATATAGCAAAGAACATCAGCGATAAAATCCCACTCCAATCTGTCGTAAGCCTTCGACATATTGAGTTTGAGCGCCATGACCCCATTTTCCCCTTTATTTTTCTTCTTCTTCCAGCAAAAACACTCCATAGCAATGAAACTGTTATTCGTGATCAACCTACCTTTAACAAAGGCATTTTTCTCTTCATCAATCACATCAAGAAGGATAAGCTTAAAACGATTGGCTATGGTCTTTGAAATAGCTTTATGACAATGTTGTAAAGGATGATTAGGAGAAAGTCTTTGGGAAAATCTGGATTTTTATATTTACGGATAAGTGCCATGAATATGTTGTTGATTTGGCCTAGGTCTTTTCCATTGTTGAGAATATCCAGGGCCAAATTTCTCACATCAGTACCAACAATATGCCAATACTTTTGAAAAAATAAGGCTAGGAGACCATCAGGGTATGAAGCCTTAAGAGGATGCATTTGAAAAATAACATCTTTAACCCCAAGAGATGAGAATTTTGCAGCACACCAACTGACATGACTTAGATTTAATTTTCCTTGAACAACCTCACAAACATCTGGAATATTAATATGAGATGAAGTATAAAAAACATCAAAAAAAGTAGTTCATCAAGATTCTTTCACAATGGAGGTCACCATTACACCAACATATATCCATTATCGTCCTTGAGTTTCTTGATGGAATTCATTTCCTTCTTTGACTAGCGTTTCCATGAAAGAACTTAGTATTGCGGTCCCCGGGCTTAAGCCAAACTGCTATGCTTTTTAGCCTCCAAATTATTTCCTCCACTTATAGAAGATTGTTCCATTGACATTCGAGAGCCTTGTAGACCTTCAAGTCCTCTTTACTTGCTGACCAATTACTTTTGTCTTCGAGCAAGGCTTCAATTCTATATATCTCTTTTATCACTGTTCCAACTTTGTAGTCTTTGAATGATGCATCCAGCCTTTGAATAGATTTCAGCATGAGGTGTCCTTGGTACTTACCTCCATTCCACAGTTTCCTGATTAAGTTCTCACATCTGAGATCTTTCAACCAAACCTTATCAAATATAAAAACATGAGTTTTCCTCATATAAAGATCTCCCATAGAAGATTCAAGATAAATCCTAATGGCCGCATGATCAGAGCCAAAACGAGAGAGGTGGAGATCCTTAATTAGCGAGAACCTATTAATAAAGCTATTTATAGCTAACCCCCTGTCAAGACGACATTGAATGTTTGCTTCCTCTTGTCTGCCATTGGTCCAAGTTTATGGATAACCTTCGAATCCCAAATCAATTAAGCCACACAGCTCCAGAGATTGACAACTCCACGACAATTGGTTTGAAGTTTTGGGATTACATCCACTCTTTTCATTTTCTGCGAGCATACTAATGAAACCACCCAATCTCCACACTTTTGCATAAGCTCTTGAACAAGAAGCCAAGTTTTCCTTACATGTTGTTCTTCCAGG